GAGGGGAGGGAGAGGGAACTGGGATTGTCATGTAAAACAATCTTGTTTCGACAGGCGGTGGTGGCGCAAGCCTTTAATCCCAGCACTGGGGAGGCAGAGGCAGGTGGATCTCTGTGAGTTCGAGGCCAGCCTGGTCTACAAGAGCTAGTTCCAGGACAGTCTCGAAAGCTACAGAGAAACTCTGTCTCAAAAAACAACAAACAAACAAACAAACAAAATCTTGTTTCTAATTCAAATAAAAAAAATCTGCAAAAAAAAAAAGATTGAAACCTCCCTGAGGAGTGGTGGGATGGGGAGATAATAGGGGAAGCTGGGAGGATGGGAGGGAGAAGGAACTGGGATTGGTATGTAAAATAAGATTGTTTATAATTTAAATAAAAATTAATAAAAAAGAGAATGAAAAAAATCTGTGATGCATCCAGAGAGTGGAATATTCATCACAAAAAATAACAAACAAACCAAAATCAAAAACAAAAAGATGATCAAACTGTAGAAATACCTAAGGGAACTTTAAATGATGTTTTCACAAGAAGAAATCAATTAAAAAATGTTGCATTCTTTACATGTTGTCTCATTTCAGCTATATGACATTCTGAAAAAGACAAAACTCTTAGGGACAGTAAAAGGGTCTGTGGGGCCTGGGGAAATGGTGTGTGAGGATGGGCAGCAGGACAGTGCATAAAGTTTTACTGAAACTATGAAATATGGCAGAAGTGGTTCCATGCCAGTGTGTGTTTGTCCAAACCTCAGAGAATATAATAGCAAGATTAGAACCTGCTGGATTGATGGTGCACATCTTTAATCCCAGCACTCTCAAAGCAGAGGAGGGAGATACCTGTGACTTTGAGGACAGCCTGGTCTACACAGCCAGTGCCAGGGCAGCATACTGACACACTGTCTCAGAGGCGGGGAGAAATAAAAAGAGTAGAACTTGTTATAAACTGTGAACTCTGGTGATAATTACAGATCAATGTAGGTACTGATTGTGACAAATGTACCATTTTGAGGCTACCTACTGGGAAGACACTATTTCTGTGGGTGGATGGCCATAGGAAAGATGTTCTGAAACTGACGCTCTAATAAAAAACAATGAAGTGAGTTTGGGGGTATAGCTTAGCAGTGTGCTTAGCATGTTCAGGGTCCCAGAGCCAATCACCAGCACTGCCATTAGAAAAGCAAACAAACAAGGCATATTCTTTTGAGAAGGAGGTCAATGATGCCAAAATTCACACTTTTCCCACCTCACTCTCCCCTACCTTGGATCAAAGGTATATAGGATCACACCTAGCACATTAAAAAAAAAAAAAAAAAAAAAAAAAAAAAAAAAAAAAAAAAAACCAAAAACAAAACCAGATAGCCAAGTTTCAGCAAAACATGCTGAGACTTTATTGAGATATCATAGAACCTATAGGACAGTTTAAAGATGATGGCCAACTTAACAACATAGAGTCTCCAAATCCATCAATCCATTTTAAATCAATGTTTTACATTTTTTTGTAATCCATGGAATTTTACATATCTGAGTTAATTTTAGATTTCTCTCGTGTTATTATAAACTATATTTAAAATATATTTCCAAAAGATTATTGTTCTATAGAAATATAAGCTATTTTATATTTATTTGCTACAGAAGACTGGGAACCCAGGAGCTCATGTATGCTTGGCAAGTGCTCCACCCCTCAGTTATGCTTTGGCTCCCTGAATGGATCTTGTATAACAGAAACTGCTTTATTAACTGATTAACTGTAAAAGATTTCTTGACTTCCCACACATACAGTTATCTTCTGAGAATAAATATGTCTTCCTATCCAATATTTATGCCTTTCAATTTTTTTGTCTTACCTTTTAAAATGTTTTTGGTAGTCTATCCCCCACAGTGTTCTTGCCGGCGTGGGTGTAGTCTATCCCCCACGGTGCTGGGGTCGGCGTGGGTGTAGTCTATCCCCCACGGTGCTGGGGCCGGCATGGGTGTAGTCTATCCCCCCATGGTGCTGGCATGAGTGTAGTCTATCCCCCACAGTGTTGGTGCTGGTGTGGGTGTAGTCTATCCCCCACGGTGCTGGTGCCGGTGTGGGTGTAGTCTATCCCCACAGTGTTGGTGCCGGCGTGGGTGTAGTCTATCCCCCACAGTGTTGATGTGGTGTAGTCTATCCCCTACAGTGATGGTGCTGGCGTGGGTGTAGTCTATCCCCCACGGTGTTGGTGCTGGTGTAGGTGTAGTCTATCCCCCACGGTGTTGGCGTGGTTGTATGATGGCCATGTGAGAGTGACAGTGTGGCCTGCCAGGGTTCTTATGTGCAGGTCAGAGGACAACTTTCAGGGTCTGTTCCCTCCTTCCACCGTGTTAGGACAGGGTCTCCCTGGTTGCTTCTGTTGCTCTCACTCTTTCTACCGAGGCAAGCTGGCCTGTGAACTTCTGGGTGATTTTCCTGTCTCTACCCTGTCTCTCTATGGGACTGCTGGGATTACAGACACAAGTCCCTGCATCAGGCTTTTGGAGTTCTGGGGATTGAACTCTTGGAGTCAGGCTTGTTCAGGCAACATTTTTACCCACTAAGCCATATTGCCCACCCCTTTTTCTAGTCTTATTGCACTGTTTAGGACTTCCGATTTATGCTGTAAAGAAGAGGTTGAAGCATAAAATACCCACATTTTTCACATTTTCTGTTTTTGTTTTTTGAGAGACAGGGTTTCTCTGTGTAGCACTGGCTGTCCTGGATCTTTCTTTGTAGACCAGACTGGCCTTGAACTGATAGAAATCTGCCTGTTTCTGCTTCCCAAGTGCTGAGATTAAAGGCCTGTGCCACCACTGCCTGAATCATGTATCCACATTTAAGCAATTATTATCATATTTTATCGAACATTGGAAGATAAATTGTCAGATCATAACACTGTGCCTAATTTCATAACCACTCTCTTCTAAGTTACCCTATGAAAATACCATTGTTATACCTAACAATTCATTCTTTATAGCTTTAAAAGGGGTGCATTGAAATGTATTTAATTAAATAATTGTTATAATAATTAAATTCACTTATGTGTATACTGGGTTTTCCTTTTTTAAAAACTTTGATACAAATCCACATATAAAGCTTATCTTTTTTTTTTTTTTTTTTTTTTTTTTTTTTTGAGACA